AATGTGAAACTCCTGCTGAAATCACTCGGTCGCTTTCTATTAACTTCAGCCTCAGTGGGAGCAATCTTAGGAGAAACACTCAGGGAAAAGTTGCATGAGAAATTAAAAATAAAAAATAATAAAATCCTACTAGCACTTTGGGAAACTTTATATAAATGGCCAGTACTGGACATGCACTTTCCCACCAAAAACCACTTAACTGTTTGGAATTTAAGGGAACGCAGAATATGCCTTGACTACAAGTGACAAATGCAGCAAGCTCCTTTGCAGCCTTATGTGCACTAAGGAGAAAGAAAATTAAAGCCTGTAAAAATTCTCTAGCTGGAGTAACAATATGCAAACAGCTAGTGCTGAACTTAAAAAAAAAAAAAAAAAAAATTGCATTTTCCCATGTCTTGCATGGAACACTTGCTAAATAGTCAGCATTGCTCACCCAGCTGCTGCACCAAGCTAGCCTGCAGTTTTTCAATGCAAATCTTAAATCAAATGAAATTAAACAATATTTACTATGGTATCCTTTGTGCCATGCTGGGGACAATAATGCAGAGAGTAATACAATAATATTTACTGGTAGCATTTGCAGTCTTTACTGTCCACAGCATAGCTGTTTGTGGTGTTAATGTATTTTTATTGTAATAATTGTATTATTGTGGACAGTTGGATTTACAGTAATGGGGTTTTGAGGAGCTGCCAAGTAGCTGAAGTAGGTGGGGTGCAGTAGGAAAGTCCCATTATCTGTGCATAGCTCAGTTACTGATTATTCCCAAGCTCCATGGGTGTTTTTGGCAGTCAGTGGTTTGCTCTGGTGGATGCAGGAGCTCACTTCCAGGCCAGACCAGAATAAAGTAAATTAAAATTTGCTTATGAAGAGAGATTTATGTCTTACCTATAGAACTGAAACAAGGGGAAAATGTTTTATTCTCTGCTGACCTTTTCCCCCTTCCCTTCAAAACTCTAAAGCATTATGTTGATTTACAGCCTTCTGAAAAAATTTAATATTTTTCTCTTTAAAACTATCCTTATCGTGCCCAAAACAGAAGATAATTTGGTTTTATTAAAATCCTTTCTGAACTTTTTACACTGCAGCTATTCTTCCCAAATGAGTCATACAGTAACCATTCCCAGTTTGTAGCCAGTTCTCCCAAGAAGCAGAAGAAAAAAGAAACAACTTCCTTTTAAGGGCATGAGACCTGTTTGTAAAGATAAACCTCTTTCCATTTCTATTTGAAGACATTCTCCATAACCCAAGAATTGATAGTTATAAAAACACTACCTACTTTATTTGGATTACAAACCCAGTCAGAGCTATAGAACGTTGTTTAATGTTAGCCTAAAGCATCTGTATATACACTTACACGTAGGGGGCACTGCTGAAAATACACATGCACCGTGTCAAACGAGCAGCTAGTTTACCAGCAATCTGCAAGAAACAGCTTGAAAATGCTTTCCTTTCGTTTGATTTTAAGATTTATAAATAAATGGGTTTAAACAAAGGGGTCTTTAATATTTATGTGGAAGGCAAACAGTTTAAGAGTATGTAATTGTAGAAGTAAGCTGACAGCAATTTCTGTTGAAGGGCTGTGTGATTCCCCAAAACTCATCGTGCTGCTTGAGTGTCCTTAGGATTTGGGGAAATGTCACACGTTGCTGGGACGATTTCTGCGACCTCTGAAAGCCACAGTTATTTTAATGGCAGCTTTGTTGTGCTTCTGCTCGCTTTCTGTCCTCAGAAACTGTCATGGGTGTTTAGGTGTCTTCACCGTAGACGGTGATTTTAAATGTGTAAAATGTGTAATTGCGTACAAATTCAAACGTTCCACTGGATGTGTTGCTTGTACAGGAAGCCAGAACACGGTTATAAAGTAGTTGAAGGTTAAAGGGGAAAGAACCCTGATATTAAATTCAGACACCAAAGCAGAGATGAATTGTTTAGGCTGCACTGCCATCCATTTAGCTCTGAACCCCTGACACTGTAGTTTATTAGAGAGGTGGAGACAACAGAATCCTTTGTCACAGGGATTTATATTACCAGAGGAGCTACAGCAGACTTTTTCTGTGTTGTTAAAATAAATTAATCAAAACCAGCAGGGGAGCATCCTTGAATTACAATGGTTGCATTATTCAGAAACTGTAAAGATTGAATTTTGAAGGAAATCTAAGAGGCATGTAGCTTGGGAAAGAGCCAGTTGTTACCAATTTTAACAATTCTTAATATAAGAAGCTGGATTATTGTTTCAAGGAGACCTTTGGCACACATTTTCTATGATTTTATTGAATTATCTTCCTCTGAAGTATTATTATATAATGTACTAACACAGACATAATATGGCATCCCTCCTCCTAGATTGATCCTGAAGTACTTTCATGATCTTTGGCCAAAGTCTGTGCCAGCTTTAAGACATGTTGGCTAAGTCAAGGATGCAGCCCACACATCCATGGAATGCAGCAATCCTGGAGCAAGAGCTAAACATCCACGGAAATGTTAGAGACAGTGAGTGGGGACAAAACCCAGGACAAAATCCCACTTGCCTAAGTAGCTTAAATTAAACCTTGGTCTCTTCCAAAACTATAAATAATAGAAATAAGGGTTGAGAAAGATAACTGAAAAATGGTATGGGATTAAAATTTAAAAAAAAAAAAAAAATTTTCAAATCTTACTCAGATGTTAGTATAATAGTAAGTTTAAAGAGTTTTCTAAAAATAACAACAAAAGAAACAAGCACATGCAAATGAACAGGATAACCTTGACTGTATCAAACATCTGGAAAATATAAGCACACATGAAAGAGCTGCTCATTTTAAGGATTTAATTTAATAACTCATCCTGTTCAAGAAGATTAACATGTGGCTATAAAATACCTGCTTGCCATCAGATTTCACCCCAGCGTGGTCACAGAAAGGTTTTAGACAGCCTTAGTTATATTAGTTTAGGACAACAGCATTCCCTTTCATTTTGTGTGCCTACTGTTGCTCCAGGTTTGCTACAGGATATCCTGCATATTTTTCACCCAATAAGCGATGCATCTAACTCGGTCACATTGCTATGGCCATGGGCAACCTCCAAGTTACCTTAGTGAGTGTAAATCCTAAACTGGGCCAGACCTTCATGGCTGGGTTTTTAGAGTGAACAATGCCTTTACTGCATAAGAAAACAGCAAACAACTGTATCTTGTACCCAGTGAAGAGGCACTTTTTGAAAGTACTTCTGAAATGAAGACTCTGGCGGCTGTAAAACCAAAATCCTTCTTGTAGCACTTCCCTTTAGGTCGATGGAAAGTGCTTGCACTCCCACCACAGGGCAAATAGCAGCTTTGAAAGATGAGGCAAAAGCAGAAGAGGAAGTGAAAATCACTGTCTTCTCCTCTCATAAGCGTTGTGCTGCTTTCAGAGCTTATTTGTGCTAGAGAAAACAGTGTGAAGGCACATCTGGGAATATGGCAGCGTGATATTCATGGAGCATTGTTCAAAGGAGTGTCAGGAAGCCCCTGGTAATGTCAAAGTCAGTTCAGATCTGCAGCACTGTTTCAAATGCCAAGCACCAACTAAAGGGAGCAGAGGCCAGGAGAACCTGTGAAGGCACAGCTAGAAACTGAAAAGACATCTGTGTGAATTGGTTCTGTAATTTTGTAATTGTTTCCTGAGCGAGTGCTTCCCTATGGTTCACAGCACTGCCTACCTTGGAAATGGATAGGTTGTGTAGCTCCTCATCTCATGGTGCTGTTTTTAGTTCCCTGTTTAAGAAACCTTTCCAGTCAGACACGGTTTTCAGCATATTGGTGATGTAAGAACCCATTTAAAAAATTGACTGCAGATCAAGAATGACATTTTAGGCAACTGAGTAGGAATGTAAACACGTACAGTGCTCTTTTCCACCTAAAAGAAGATAATCTGACTCAGATTGCCTCTGAGGATTTTGCTGACACCTCTTACTAATATAATTTTGGGGGAAAGGTCCTGTTCTATGAACTACTAGTACCTTCTCCAGTTCCCCTGGGAAGCACACTCCTCAAGGATTGTGTAGTCTTTGAACAGACGTCACAGGTCAGCACCTCCACAAATTAAATTCAGCGTCAGAATGAGTGTCCAGTTTCCTTTCCTCTTTATTATTTTTGCCCTGAGACTTATGTTTTTCTTATTAACTTAAACCTAATCGTTAATTTTAAAAACACAGCAAGAGCATTCTAATGTCAGTGTTTCAGAGGGGGGTTGGATTTTCTTTGAGCATGGAAGAAACGAGTAAAAACCAGTCAAGAGCAGTTGTGTCGGGATCTGTATTTGAGATAGTGATTTAGGGTGTGACTGATTGTGTTAGAATGCTGGAGAATCTAGGAGTGCACAAGGCCTGGAGGAGCCAAGTGAAAGGGCCAAAAGGAAACCCAAGCACATGAAAAATGTCGTCTGGCCCGACAGTATCTTGCAAATGTAAAAGTAAAGAAATCCAAAAAGGTCCAAGAAAGCTTTTAAACGAAACTAAACTCCAATGTGCAAGTCGTGCTTTAAGTGACACACAGGTATGACATGGGATTACGTGAATCCCTACAGATGAACATTGCTTTCTGTAGTGCTATGGAACTATAAAGGCAGGGAGGACCTGATAACGTAACATTTCTTCTTACAATGATATGATGGAAACATATTGGAAGAAGGTTTTTAGCTGGATATCAGACAAGAGTGAGGCACTGCACAGGGCTGAGGCAATAGGTAACTCCTACAGCTGTGCCTGGCACTGTGTCTGCATCCAGCATGTTTGATCCAGTCACTGAAATAAATTGTATTTTCCAGCCCTTAAAAAAAAATGTTTGGGTTTAGAGCGGTAAAAGGTTTTGGGCAAAGATTTGGTTTGGCTCTTACATTAGGGGAACTTGAGTGCCATGCTGTTGCCTAGAACACCTGAAAAGAAAGTATTTTTCACAAAAGGAAGGGTTCCTTCCCACTCTTTTCCGTTTCAGCTGATGGTGCTAAAACACGATCCCGTTTGTGCCTCTCTATTTTTATCCCAGGACCCAGGGCCGATGAACCATGGCAGGGTTTAATTCTTCAGCGCTGGATGATGCAGGAATCCAGAGGCCTGAATTCAAGCCTGATTTGAACAGGCCAGTGCATCTTTAGTTTTTTGCATAAGTCAATTAGCACCCCGTATCAATTTGTGCTGATTCCCCAGTCTCTGCAACTTTTCCAGGCCTCTTATGCAAATGGGGCCTGGAAGCAAACAAGTGAGTGACCCAGAAGGCTGGTACGGGGCTGGGCACCATTGTTCTCAGGCCAGGAATTTCAGTGCTCCATTTGTTCATGGAGTAAGTTAAAAAAAAATGAGAAGCCACAAGGATAACTACCTCCTCAGGCTTAATTATTGTACCCTTTGTACTGTTCTTCCCAGGGTAGAAAAAGAGGCATTCATGGTCCTCTCACTGCATTTAGATTCACTGGGTTGTTTTTCACTGTAAATATAGAGGAAGAACACTGAAACTGGAATGGCAAGAGGTTTTAAAGTCAACCCCTCTTTGTAGTCGCAAACTGTGCCATGAAATCAGTTTGGTAACATTTATCCTGGTGATCTGGTAAATGACTTAAAAATGCAGCACATTTAGGAGTTGAATTAGGGTCCTTCAAATGAAGATTCATTCCTGGAAAATTTAGTTAGACCACACCTGTTAATTTAAAACTATCTGAGTGAAAAGGGGCTCAAGCTGCAAAACTCAGGCAGATTTCTGACACCGTAGCTGTTCAAGGATGGATGCATCCTTGGGGTTGGTGCACTTCACAGGAGTAAAATAACCTGGGTTTAGAAGGTCTAGTGTTACAGGCTGAAGTCATGACTGAAAGTGAGGGCAGAGAAAGAAAATCAAGATAACAAGGAATTTATTAAAACTGCCATTTTAAGATAGCTCAAAATTCTGTTTAAGTTGGATACGAGACCTGGGAGAGTTCCCACATCTCCAGGACTCCCAGCTGGTGTCAGATTGGGCTGGAAGGAACTGAAGTTTGAGATAACAGGTTTTTGTCTGCTTTTGTAGTTACTATTTCACTTCATGCATTCAATAGTTGTGTGTAATATTAGTGTAATATTACTACTAAATGCTCTATAATATGGTGTCAGATAGGTGCAGAATATTTTTCTGTTTTCTCTTTAAAGGATTCCAACTGCAGCTTCAGTAAGAAGACATTAAACCTGGCAGCCAAGATTTCTCCAAGGTGTAACTGTCCTTACATTCACTTACCTGTGATTTTTGGGATTGTGAATAAGAGCACCATCTAGTGATAATCAGTAATGAAAAGGTGTTTATTCAGACAGGACATAAAGGCACACTGTTGATTCACTTCCCAAAGGGACTGAGGGGCTTGAAAGGAAACAGAGTTCTAGCTGTGGTTTCCGAAAAACTGGTGCCTTCCCCTTAGATCCTCCTAAAAATGCACCATGAATCTAAAGACTGACTTTGACTGAGAGTATGGAAACCACAAGATAACAGCTTTAATACTAACATTTTGTTTCAAAAGCCAGTTATGTTATTATGTATTCTTGTAACAAAACTCTCCACATTTGTGAATGGTTCATTTTATATTGATCAGCATAACATCCTTCCTGCACTGAGTGAGAATTTAGGTGAAACCATTCTAATTTCCTAGGTATCCATTTTCTTTGGAAAACCAACCATTCTGAATCCTTTTTTTTTTTTTTTTTTCAGTGAAGGGTGTCAAACAGCAGCTCCTCTTAAGGATCTTAGGCATTAAAGAGTGTCACATGTTAGAATTTGCCAAAGACGTTCATGCTTAATGATAGTTTTTTCCTAATTTGAAGGATTTTACAAGCAAGTCTTGCACGACCCATTCCCCGAGTATTATTTCAGTGTGCAGGAAGACCATTATGAATATATGCTAATATAGAAAGCTATTTATTCCTTTCAGATTATTTCCATATGCATCCTCTGTAATTAAATCAGTGGCTTATGGCAGCTGGTCTTTGAAGTGATCTCTGCAAAATAGGAAAATGTAATTTGTGGGACAAAATGCTGATTGCTCTATTCCAGCCACATCTGTTAAGCTCTAGTAGTTCAGGGATTTCTGTGATGAGGGAGTTCATGCAAAGCAGAAAGTTTCCTGTGTTCCTTTCTGTCCAGAGGAAGTCCACTGGAAGTGATGGGCACTATTCTAACCAAGTAGCAAGGTTTGAAGTCTGAGGTGTTGTTTGCCCACAATTTTCAGTGAATTCACTGAAACTGATGCTTAAGTAAGTAGCTCTACTTGTGTATTTAAATAATACTACAGGGAGAATGATAAGAGAAAGCAGAGCAAGAATTCCTGACAGAGAAGACAAGGATTTAGAGAGATAAACAGAGAGATGATCTCTTCAGTGGTGGTGGAGGAGTAAAGCAAATAAAACTCATGTTGTGAGTTTTATTTCTCATTGATTGCAGGACATCTTGGAAACACCTGATCTTATACAGGTATAGACAACTGTTATAATTACTGTTGCACAATTCTCCATGTTTTTTGCAGGACCCTTAGAGCCTTTCCAAAGGGGTGCCAGTGAAACTTGCAGATGCATCTGCAAGATGGGTTTGCCAGCACAAGGAGTTTCTGTCCGACCCGTCCAGCCCCAGCTGTGCCTGCTGAAAAGGCTGTCACCCACAGCTGCTGGGCACTCCTCTCCCTTCCCTCCTGGGGAAAAAGTTACTGGGATACCCCCAAGTCTAGGGTTTTTTTGTTCTTGGAAGGGAATGACTTCTGCTAGACACAGCGATCTGTAGTAAGAAGATCTGTAGCGAAATCTGCTACACCCTTCCCAATGAGAATTTCTATTCATGATATCTGCTTCTAATTAAATAACTGCACTATATTATCCATACCAAGGCCCAATCCTTTGCCCTTTGAAGTCAATGGCAAAGCTCCCAATGAGTTCATGGGAAAAAATGTAACTCTTTTTGTTAAGGCTTCCTTTAGTGATAATTCAGCTGTTAGGTTTTTAAATCAACTCAGCTTTGCCACTTTTGCCTTCAGACAACAAGCAGTTCCTGATACTCCTGTATTAGGCAGAGAGTACTAGGAAGGGCAGATTTGGTCCTATAAAATCATGTTCCCCTGTCATTCTGCCTTTTTTTCTTTCTGTTACTGTAAAGTGCCAAAATGAACATAGGGTGTCTTGCATCATCTTTATTTTAGAAACTTTCTTGAAATTCAATATTGCAGCAATTTATGCCATAGGGGGCACGTTTATGCTACAGAGAACACATCAAATGGAAGCAGCAGTGTAAGCACCACAGCTTATCTGCTCCCTTCATAGTTTTGACCCATCACCAGTTCATCTGCTAATGAATTGTAATGCAAAACATACTTACAAAACCCAAAGCATACAGCTTCCTAAATGGGACCATATTTCTAAAATACACTTGCAAAAAGGCAAGTTTATAAAATAACCATTCTCCAGCTGCACAGACCAGGATGACATAACTCTTTTGAAGCAGAAGGTTATCCGTGCATTCAGTGCCCAGTCCCAGATGTAGGAAGGAGATATATAACAAAAAAGAAAACTAAAAGGATTCAAAATATATCTCTATAAAGTAGAAAGAAGAGTTGCAGACAGCGTTTCCCTGCTAAACCAGAAAGGGAGAGTCCATAGCTGTGCCCAGGACTGCAGCACATGATAAGAGAGCTCGAGGTCTAAGCCCGCTGGCTCTGGTGAGCTCAGAACCAACAGGGTTTTGTTATAATTTACCTTCCACATAAGCAACAAATAAAGCAGCCACTTCTTCACTGTTCTTAGCACCCCGTTGAGGGCGAGGTACTGAGGTGTGTTGGACATTTTTGGCCATCGTGCTCAACACCAGGTTGTATTGGCAGGTACCCAAAAACCAGCACTTTGATTTCGGAGCACGCTGAAACGTTTCGGTCTAAATGTGCGTCAGCCTCATCCTGACGTTCACACTGGCTGTGTGGACTGCAGATTCTAATGACATGGGACAGATGGGAAAAATTACAGAAAAGGAAAAAGAAATCCACACTGTAACTTGTGTACATTAGGTTTGAAATTTAAAACCTCCAAGCTGATATCCGGGGGGGGTTTTTTACTGCCAGTTTTGTTCCAGCCAATGAGCAGTGCTCGTGAGTACTGGTTGCAATCTAATGTTATCATTTTTGTCCATAGCTAATTCCGTGCACACAATTATTGCTCTTAAAGATATCTCTGCAAATTTTATAGAGTGCTAAACATTTATCTCATGAAATATTTTCCCTTAAAGTAATTTCTGCTCTAAATATTTCTGCTGTAAGTTGGAAGAACACTGAGTTGTGCATTTGGAGGAAAGCCCTTCCATGATATGCATAAATTGCTAGCTGTGTCCTCTCAAACAATCTGACACAATTCTAAGGGACTTTGTAAACAACACTTCCTGTTGTGATATTTTAATATGAACTTGGCTGAAAGTCTTACTATTACATTCACATTCGCAATAAGAATGCAATGGCAGAAAATACAGAACAATGACATGTAATAATGCCTTGCAGTGCATTTTAAAAGTTTCCAGCAAAGAAACAAAAAAATGGAGCAAAGCTCTATAGAAAGCAGCTAATCTAATTGAGTAGGAATACACTGTTTGGTTTTTTTAGTTTGTTTAGTTTAAATCAGTGTGAATTCTGGTGTTCATTCTATTCCATTGAAAACTCGCCTAGTGTGAGAGTTGGAAAAGCATCTATTAGAAATGAGCACAAATGAATCCATGGATCCAAACCATGCTTGTATTTGCCTAAATACTGTGGGAAGCGTGCCAAAACCAGCTTGGTATGTAGTCCTGTATATCCAAAACAGGGTATACACTCGTGTGCTAGTTCAGCCTGCAGCTTTTAAACAGCTAGATGGGACTTCAGTACTAAACATTTCCACTGGCACAGGAGCTGGAATGCAAAAGTTTGAAATCAAGGAATGCAGAGCCCTAACCTTTAGAAGTGCATGGAAAGCTTTGGTGGTTAAGGTGGATGATTTTTTTTTTTTTCCCTCTCATTATTTTTCTACTTAGCAATGGCAGAGTTTTCAGGAACAATTATTTAGTGGTGGTGTGTTTTTGTTAGGTTTGGGGATCCTTACTTTATTCCTTGGCTTTGCAAAATAAATCAACCTAACCTCCATGAAGCCCAACTTCTTCCAGTCTGTCAATGGAAGTTTTGTAATTTACTTAAATAGAAGCCAAATTCTGTCATCTAAACAAGTGCAAAGATATATTGGTTAGTAAATTGGGTCAAGGCTCGTAAGACAGTCAGAATCCTCTCCAGAAAAGATAGATAAACCCACAAATTTCCACATAACTGCTTGTGTGAAAGAACATGTAAATATGCCTCACAGGGTTTTCTGAATATCAGCAAATACCGTCTGTGTCAAATGGTCTGAAGGGTGAATTTGAGAGTAAGAGTCTGTCCGGGCTGCAAAAACAAACTATCTTTGGAAATGTATTAGCCAGCAAATTTAAACAAACACTTTTAAATACAGGCCAAGTAAGGCAAGTTGTATTTAAAATCGTGTAGGTTGACTCTAAACTCCCCTCCCTTGCTGCCAAAGTTCAACCAGCATGTTTTAAACATGGCTTGCTCTGCTGAGTGCTATTGCATAAAGCTGTGCTCAAGTCCTTTTTGAAATGTCAATTGATACAAAGAAGGCAACATCAGCAGGGTCTGTGAGCTCCCTGCAGGGCCTTCACACAGCACACTGAGTAGAGCAAGTTCCTACTCTAGCTAATCTAGTTTATCTAATCTAATTTACCTGCTTGGAGGTGTGACAGGAGCTTTGGTGTCCTCTGTGGATGGAACAACTCTGTGCTAACATACCTCTCATACACGTGGCAGTGACATGCTTTGCCTTACCTCAGGATCCAAAGCATAACTGTGCTAACATGTCTCCCACTCAGGTTTTTTTTTTCACTAGACTTAAGTGTAAAGCTCAGCATGATGAAAACCTCTTGGGGTTGTTCTGCATGAGTCAAGTATTTTGGAGAAAAAGTCAGACTGCCACAGCAGAGCCCACCTCTGATTAAATCCAGCATTAAGTAATCGTATTCACACATCACTTTTCACACTCTTGGTTCATTCAGGTTGTTCCCAAGTCTTTGAGTTTCACTTTCAGTTTCAGGTTCCAATGAATCCAAAATGATGAAACGGAGACTTGAATTGAAATCTGAGCGTTTTGATGGACAAGGGCACAAGTCCAAAATGACCAGGCAGCCAGTTGTCACACGTCACTCCTGAGCCAAAGGTAAAACTACTATTTGGGCAGCAGCAGCTTGTGATCTCCTTGTAAGCATCTGTTCATTTTTGCTTTTAGGATGAGAAAAAGAGGGCTGAATTCCCTTTGAAGTGCTTAAGAGGTCTGAGTCATGCAACTTACTGCCCTTGAATACTAGAACTATTTGGTTAAGTTCCCAATCTTAAATTACCAAGACTTTGACAGATACAAACAATGAGTTCAGCAAATTGCTGTGTGGTGTAGGTAACAAATATGCTGGGAATGATGGACCTCTGTTGCAAACAGATAATTTTATGAAGTCACATCATAATTGAATTATAAATCTGTATCTTCTCTAAGATCTAAATCGACTCCATTAAATCACCTGTTGCAAAAGAGATGCTTCTTAAACAATATAGCTTTATTATACATAGCATTGTCAGTATTGTTAGGTATTAGTGGAAAAACTCACAAGACTTTCTCTTTTTTGTACATACAGTTTTTATCTATTTTAAATGAAAAAAAGAAATGTTCAAGAAAAAATCGCCCATGATGTTCATAAAAACACATTCTTTCGTATATCTCATGGTAGAAAGAGAAAGGAGATACCATGTGCTACTTTGCTTTTATATATCTTAAATTCTTATCCTTCTAGGGTCAGTGTTCCACTGAGAATTCCCAACCATCTCCTGCTTTGGAAAAGCTATCCTACAGCACAGTACTGACATGCTTCGGTGCTTTGGGTGCATACAACCACTGCTTTCCTAAGCTTTATACTCCTGATAATTTTTTTTTTTTTTAAATCCCATCCATTTATTAGAAGTCCTTTCTAGCACTATAGATCTCTTGAGATAGAATTTAAAAGAATTGCTTATAAAGCCCTTTATGGTATATGGGGACAGTATATAGAATACACGAATTCTTTTTAACTGAAAATAAGTTTTTATGAAGTATTTATGAGGTTAGTGAACATCACAAGGTGAGCTGGTATATGGAGCCAGGGTTCAGAGGGGTGTTAAACACTTTGTGTACCTTTAGGGAAAATGAGTCAAATGTTTTCAAAATTTGTGTTTTGAATAAGAGTTAAAAATGGACAAGGAAAAATTATAATTTCCGAGACTTCAGAAGAATCTGTTTGTTGCAGTCTCCCCTCTAACAAATTACTGAAAAATCTTGAATCTAATTTAGTGGTTGCAAAATTATTTGCTATTGCAGAATTGCCCATTTTATGTGCTGGTGAGAGAAGTACCGAGATATTTCTTTGTAAAATGTTTGTCTCTGTCTCTCTGTTAACTATTTACATAGCAATGGAAGACAGTACTTTATACTACAGGCAAAACTCTCATGGATTTTAATGTGAATGCTACTTGCATATATGCTTTAAGAGCTACAGACAGTGGGGACATAGTTCACGTATTTATAAACGTATTAAAACTTTTTTAAAAGGCATAAACCAAACTGGTAAAAGCTGATTCTGGCAGTGAAGTGCAGTGACTTACTCCATTAGCTTTAAAAACAATATGTTTCCTTTATCAAAGAGTAGATAAGTGTGAACTTGAGATTTGTGTATCCTGCCACATTTTCACGGATTATCTCATTTCCCTCCATTTCGCATCCGTCTCCTCTTTAGTTTTGTATCACAGCCACTTCTCTACTTTGCTTGGGTTTATGTAACCGAGGCCACTTGGCTTTTACTGTTACAATTTTTTAAGTTCTAGCTACAAGTTTTCACTAGATGGCAGGAGTCCTCTGCCATGTCTTATCAGGGCCTTTACTTGCAGAGCAACAGTTGCCCATCGGTAAAGGGGGGGGGGGGAAAAAGTAAACATGTTCAACTTTTGCTAAATAGAAGAACAGAAAAAAAAAATAATGAGAAAAAGTATTCATACCCTCACTAAATAGTTCTGTTACTGAATGTGGTTAATATTATGAGTTGGAAATCATTGAAAGGAATAGTGAAAGATGTTTTTTTCTCGACAGAGGAACTGAAAGGACCTTCTTTTATAAAGGGAGGTAGATTTACTGTTTCTGCTGTTTGTGAAAAAGTCAACTGAGCCAGTACATTGAAGTTAATTAACTAATAAATACATTGACAGGTTAAGAAAGTTACGGCTTAAATACTCAACTACTGATCAAAGTACAAAACCTTTACACTCAAGGAACTGCATTACCAAGACACCAAAAAGAGGTAAGACACACATTGAACTCCCTCCCTTCATATAACAAGGCAGAACTCATTGTCTAATGATCAGTCCCAGCAGCATTTCAGCCAGAGGTATTTTGCTGACCTCAGAGCTGTGGACCAAATTTGTGCCTCATGTCTAGGAGAACAGAATGCAGCTCCATACAGTTACATAAGCCTTAATAACCGTGACAAATCTTCATTGTTGCACCAGTGGGGAAGCTGTTGCACTGGACTGAGCACTGATTTTTAACAAAACTACTTTTGAACTCTTATTTTTTTGCTGCGTGGGACTACCAGTTGTTATTTTTGATTTATTCTGGTTTGCTCCCCTTTGATACATGCAGATAATTTCTGAAGTGTTCAGGCATTTTCAGTGTTGCTCATGAAATATAAGAGGGGATGTTTGGCATCTATTAATGCTGTTTCTAAGACTGGATAACTTTCCAAAACCAGAGATAACTCAGTGTAATGCTTTCCAGGGTTCCCAAAATAGTAAGAACATTTTCTCATGGTAAAGCTGTATTTATTCCATGACTAGAGTAGAAAAACTATCAGAAATAGATGCCTGGAACAGCACTTCCTAATATGAGAGATTGAGTTTGCGATGTGCCGAGTGCACTCAAAGCCAGACAGAGACCCAAACAGGAGCTGAAAGACACCCATCGTGCCACAAGTTAAACCTTTAATGGCTAGGAAGATGTTTGCAATACTTGCAAGCCACTGACAAGCAATCATCCCTTTTTTTTTGAAACCAGCATAACCAACACCTGTAGGATCTCTGCAGAACACGCCAGAGAACTCAAACAAGCATCCCAAGATCCGCACCAGCCACTTCCCTGGAAGCGATATTTACTTTGTATCTAAGCAAACTGTTCTCCTCGCTCGTGTTCCCGGCACACCGATAGCATCTCTCTCGTGATCCTACCTTGGCGATCTGCAAAGGCTGCTTTTGCTCCTTGCCACCTTGCAGTCTAAAGCCCCAAGGCGCCCCTCCGCTCATAGCAATGCAGAGATAATCCCCCGTGCCCATGTTCCCGGTGCAGTCAGGCAGCATTCAGATACGGGAGAACATGGGAAATTTGTCCTGCAGATGTTCAGCGAGCTGGAGATTTCAGCTGCCGGGCAGAGCTGGAGACCCAGAGCACCACACTGTTGCTGCTGCCGGGAACTGCACGAGCAAATGTAGTCATTCAGGAGAATGTAAGAGCTGCCTCGGCCCGAGGGCACAGCCCACTCTGTCGTCAGATTCCGACGCTCAGCCCACCTTCAAACTACAGTAAGTAACGCTGGGGAAATGCACACACAAAGAGACTCGGCCATGAGGCAGAGAAGGCTGCGTTTAGACATGACTCTGGTGACAGCTAAATCAAAACAACAGCAAAAAAGAAGTGTACATTGGCCTGGGACAATTCAGGAAATAAGTTCACTTTAGTAAATGGTGCCAGGCATTTTAAACTCTAATTTACCCATATCTTGCATGTTTATTCTGAAGAAAGCAAGCAGAATCTTGAGCGAAACAGCATGTACATCCTCTGAATAACTGGTACACTTAGAGATTGAACTGGGTTTAGGATTTTCATCTCTATCCTGCATGCACTTTCTGCAGCACTACAGGTATGCCAAAAAAAAAAAAAAAAAAAAAGCGCAACTTTATAATTTCCCTGTCTTGGAATTGCCTCTTTATCTAACCTTAGTGTAGTTCAATGTGCACTACTATTAACAATGACCTGAATTATCATTGGACCCTAATAATACCTGTCCTTATGCAGCCTGTTGCCTTTCCTGCCAGAGCAGGGAAGAGGATTAGTGGAATGAAATATCAGATCTCCCTACAGATGCTATCAGTGTCTGATTTGCATTGCGGCATTAAAAGGGAACCTTACTATAAGCACCAAAGAAAATTCAGTGGGAAGTTAATTTGCCAGTGGTTCAGACCTGTGTTCAGTCCTGTTCCCTGTTACTAGCCTGTGGTCATGCAGCCTTTAAACAGGTGAGCTCCTCCAGGTCTAGTCGAGTGGTTTAAGAGGTGATGGGATGAATATTCCTCTAGCTGAGTGTTAAACAACTGACAGCCTAAGCTCCTACTCACCTCAGCCCAAAGTCAGGTAGCCTGGCTTGAATCATATTTTGCACTAAGCTGGTTCTAAAGGACAGTGTTCAGCAGATGGGCAGAAACATCTGTCATGTCTAGACTGATGTATGAAACGAACACCTCTTGCTTTGAGACCCACCCATGTTGCTGGGGGCATCAGATTTTCACAGCCTCAATTTTCTGAGGTCCCTGTATGAACTGCTTTCACTTGGCTGCTTCTTACACCACAGCATTGTTCTTTACAGACAGAAAAAAATGTCAAGGTAGAGACAGGATCTTTTGTTAAATATTATGGGTGGGAAAAGTAGACAGGCTTTTAGGAGCTTGAGCCCTTCAGGCCTCTGAAGACACTAAGACTGGGTGGAGACAAGATCCCTGATCAAACAGAGGCCAACGTCACTCTCTCAATAACAGGATTTAATGGGAGGAAGAGTGCTTGCTTTATTGACTACAGGTTAAAAGCTCTGCAGAAGCAAAACAAGCACAGGTTACCATAGAATTAAATACTTAAGGGGAACACTATCAGAGAATCCATACTTGGAAAGGGAATGGCCTTAAAGGGACTTTTTTCTAAACAACCTCTGAGTGCAGATTTGAAATAATTCACTTCAGGGTGCCTGGCTGCTTCTCATTACCTTGTGCAATGTTCATATGTTGCTATAGCAGACAGGTTTTCAGTCTTTCCCATGGCAGAATCTTGCTTTAGACAAAATTCTCTCCCTTTTGCCTAATGAAGCACATTTTTGTAGATACCTCTGTGACACATTCTGTTAAATACAAAAATTAAACGTTTATTTTAAGAAAATGAATCACATATTTATCAACCCTTCAAATGTTGTATATTTATTATTAAATAAGTATATTTAATTACTGCTAAGGTGTTTTGAGCTTGTATTAGGCTTTTATTATTTTGGTAAAACATGATCAAAACTGATCTCTTGTTTCTAAACTTCTTAATATGCTTATTGCAGAGAACAAATTAAGAAGAATCACCCCAGCATTTCGATGGTCATGTATATGCTGGGGATTTGTACTGGATATGGATGCTCCTCTATCCTTTGACCATATAACAGAGCTGTGTAAAATATTAAAGCAGAATAATCTTGATTAGTCATTGCTCAGCTGAAAAAATTTAAACAGTCAGAACACCAGGATCTGTTTGATTTTGTTGTATGATCAGCAGTTGGTGCTCCCTTGAAGTTATTCCCCCACCAAGTATTTGACATCATTAAGGCAAAAGAGCAGAGAGAAGCATTTTAAATTTGATTGTGCCATAGGAAAAGACAGCAAAACAATGCCAGTGGTTTAGGCTTGCAGTAAGAAAAGCATTTGAAGTCTGTAATTAAACTATTCCCATGTTGGGAAGATCTGAAGCTTCCTAGGTCTTAATCTGACAAGAATACCCCATAGGCACTAACAATTCCCATTTGCCTTATATGAATTTCTTAACTGCTTATGCTGCAGCATATTTTGCTTTTTAGTACTTCTGTCATCTTCTTGTACATTCTCTGCACCCTTTGGGATTTCTAAGTGCTGGTCATAAACTGGACATCAAGATAAAAGTGGAGTCATTCATGGGGTTTATGACTTTTTGGTCTCTGTAGTTTCTATAGCTTAAATAAAGTGCATAAATTTGGAGGTGCTTTTCAAAATTCGCTGAAAAATGTCCTTCTGCTGCTCCATGGATCAGAGGAAACTGTGACCAGGCAATCCCCAGGCACACGTCCCAGGCACTTATTTTACAGATCTCTGACATATCCACCTTTTTTTTCCAACAGATAGCAGAGTAATTAGTTGTTCTTTATACAGAAGCTGTCTCCTACCTTTCGTTATCTCATTTCCTCTTCATCCTCTAGAGTTCCATATCCTTTCTGAGGTGGGGGCCTGGAACACCACACAGTCCTCAGACAGCAGACCAAGTTGGGATTTATACAACAACATGATGATATCATCTATTTTGTTCTCTAGTTGCTAACCCCAGCATTGCTAACACCTAATTTGCTTTTTCAGACACTGCTGAGTTTATGTGTTCGTGGCATTATCTTTTAAAATCTCGAAATCTTGTCTGATGTAGTCAGTTCAAAGCACACAGTTTTATACGTGAATTGATGTTTTTTTCCCCAATGTGTATCACCTTATACTTCTAAGCCACGTTATGGTATGGCTGCTTAGTTTTCTTAAAAGCCTTTGCTGAAGGAATTTGTTGAAAGCCTTTTGTAAATCCAAGATCAATCAGATCACCCTCATCCACGTGTTTTTTGATCCCCTCAAAGAACTGCCTTATGTTTGTGAGGCAGGACTTCCTTTTATGAAAACCTTTTTAACTCTTCCCAGATAAGTCATATTTATCCAGATGTCCACTGTTCCATATTATAGTTCCCACCTCTCTGTTTTGTACAGAGACTGGGCTGACAGGCTTGTTGCTTTCTGAGTCTCTCTTGGAACACTTCATTTAAAAAATGGCTCTCTCTAATCTCACTAACAGTCAGCTATTTCAGCCTTCAGTTCCTTTAAAGCTCTGTGTGGTCTTGGGGACTGCTTCTTAATTTTCTTTGCCTCATCTGCTGCCACTTGTCCATATATCTTCTTTTCTTATTGTAGTAACGATTTATGATACTGAACAGTTTTATTACAAGTGGATTTATCTAAAATCTAATTTAAATCAGGTATTTCTGTAGCTGAGTTCAGAAAACATTCTCCAAGTGTGAGAAGGAATAAGACAAATCTTTTGTCTTTCATCTAGCAATAAAAGCAAAGCTGTCATTTCACCTACAGTTTCCTACAGTGGTTCCCCAGGTCTGGGGATTCTTTAAAAATGCAAACATTTCCACCCATTCCTTAGTAATGAGGAGGAGACAGAGGGAAAGGGGATATCATGATCTCTAATTTATGGGCAGCATTTTACTGCTGTAAATACCCAGATGGTCTGACTTGCTCCTTCTTCTGCATTTCATTTTCTTTTCATATCTGACTCTTTTTCCACATTAAAATCCACATAAGCTGGCTCCCTAAAAATACCTATTTTAACAGCTTTCTAGTAGGCTCTGTGTCATCTGTAAACAATTTAATAAACTACCCAATTTATTGTAGGATGTGATTTCAGCCAAATGGGAGAATCAGCAAAGAAAAAAAGGAAAAAGGAATTGTCACTGCATATTTATTTGGGGTTTGTTTTATTAATTACATGGAAACCACCCCCCCTCCCCCCGTAAATATATAGTGAGTTTAATGGAACAAAAGATAAAATCACAGCCATGCCACTTAAGAAATCATGACACGCAGGCTCTTCCAAATGAAGAGAAAATGGGTTCTTCCAATATATCCCTTCAAATGGGACTTCTTTTAAAAGTGTCCAGCTGGGCAATGCCAGGCACATCAGCTGATGTTATTGTCCTGAATCACTGCCTAATAGCATCCCTTGTTCCATAGTTGTACAACTCAGTTACATGAAGTAAAAGCAAATTTTGAAGGCAGAGCTCAACATCATTTTCCCCAAACCTTACAGAAGGAGAAAAACACATTTCTGCTCGATTGCTACACTTTGGTTCTCCTGATATAAGAAGCAACAAGGAACAGAGACACATGGAAAGGATTTAATTTTCAAAAAAGATATAAAATGGCATAGGGAATGAAATATATTGATGGGAGGTTCATATGCACAGCTCCAGCTAACATCCATTAGAGCTGATTGCCCTTCATTTTTTCCCATCAAATTTCTCTTGTCCTACAAGATAAATTAATGGAATCCAGATGTTTTGACTGCTTGAGGAACTTTCCAGTGCACTGCCAGCTAAAGAGGGTTTGTTGTCTGAAAGTACAAACATGGAGTGGCAAAGGCACTAGAAACCAGGAACACCAAGTTCTTAGTGAAGGGAAAAGAAATTAAAAATACAGGTTATAGATAATTATCTACCTATAAGGCCAGACAGGAAGGCTCTGCTCACACTCATAGGAGGCATGGACAGTTCCTCATCAGTAAAGACAAAGCCTTAAAATTTTAATCCCTACCGTGGATTATGAGGCAAGGTACTATGTGGTGGGCTGGAATTTTAGAACTAGTCCTGCTTTCTTGTTTTTTTTCCCCAATTTCAAAACTGGCAAATGAAGCATTAATGGAAGAAGTGGAGAAATGTACAGGAGTGTGTCATCCTGGGTGCTTGTAATGGCTTGATCCTGAGA